GACTTTCTCCAGTCATCACCACAGCTCTAGGCCTCATATACCAAGAACTGGAGAAGTTCCGAATTGACATCCACATCACCCTCCCACCATCGCAGTCCGAACATCCACCCTCACAACCCGCCTCGCAAACAAACTCCCGAACTCACAGTCAATCCCCCAGCCAGCACCCCGGCCAGCCCGCTCTAAATTTAAGCAGCGGCTCCCGTCACGTCTCCCCAGCCGGCCAAGCACCCACCATACCAACCTCCGTCCCCGCACCGCGCGTCACAAACGCGCCCCTACTGCACCAAGGCTACGCATTCCAGCGATCTGTCGGGGATTTCGAGCCGTCACAGACGGGCGTGCCGCCCATACCTGCAACGCATCTACTAGGCGGCATGCCCAATGCGGCGATGACGCTGGACAACCCGGGTTCGTACGAGATTACGCCCGAGGTCTTCGAAGCGTTCTCATACGCGGAGCCTATCACGGCTAACATGGCGTCTGCTTTTGAGTCGGCGTGGGGCAGGCCAGGATGATCATCACCTGGATGCGTGTATTTTCGATTGTGATCTACGTGATATCCATGAAGTTGTTACTGTTCGTCATAGTATATCCAATTGGAAGTGATAGAATTGTATGTACAGATTCTATGCATTCTTCGCATGTATATACAGTCACATATTAGACATGAAATGTGCACAGAGATGATATATACACACCAGCCCTAGTATAACAGGGACTCAACGCCTGAGGATAGTAGCTCAGACAGATGCGTTCGCCCAGCCCGGCCTCTTCTCACCAGGAGGAACGCCCGCGTCCATTCCGGCCGGAGAAGGTAAAAAGGAACTGACCGGTCTTGGCTTCGCTCGCCAGCGCAAGTACCACGGTCCCTCGAAGAGATCACCCATCCGCTCAATGGGCACGCCCTTCGTCTCAGGCATCCAGATGCCCAAGATGACGAGCCCCGAGAAGCAAATGATCGCCCAAAAGACGTAGGCGCCCCACACATCGAGCGAGACGAACATGTTCGGAGTGACGCGGACGACAGCAAACTGGAAGAACCAGTGCAGCGACATGCTGATCGCGTAGCTGACGTTGCGGATGCGCGTGGGGAAGATCTCCGTGCCGTAGAGGTAGGGAATGGTGCAGAGGCCGATGGACCAGCCGACGGCGTAGACGAAGACAGAGGCGATGGCGGCGTTGGAGGCGGAGCGGTTGGTGCTCGACCCCGGCTGCAGGCCCATGTATGCGCCCATATAGATGTGGGCGGCGAGCTGGAGGCTGAGGCCGGCGAGGGCGCACCGCCGGCGGCCGAGATAGTCGATTAGACCCCAGGTGAAGGCCATGGTGAAGACCAGCTTGACGATCCCGTAGGCGCCTGAGGAGACGAGCGAGCGCGCGTTGCCGTCGATTCCGGCGTACTGGAAGATGGTGGCGACGTAGTAGGTGATGCCGTTGCCGCCGGTCCACTGGGAGATGGTTTGCATGGCGATCAGCAGCCAGAATCGCTGCCGGTAGTTGGGGTTGAGTTGGGTCTCTTTGAAAGCTTCCCAGTGGGTTACGGACGCCAGGTCCATCGCCTTGGTGCGCACTTGCGCATCGATGCCGTTGAATTCGTCTTCGATCGCTGGGTCGGAGACTTCTCTGCCGCGCAGACGAGCGAGGACGGATCGTCCTTCGTCATGCCGGTGCCTGGAGACCAAGTAGCGAGGCGTTTCGGGTGCAATGAAGGACGCAAAGAACGCAATCCCCACTGGTATTAGTGGAATGGATTGCACGAGACGGTACTGAGTCCGCGTTGGGGCCATATGCAGACTGGCGGCATAATTGATGAAGAAACCTTTGACAATGTCAGTTCAGACACACGAACATTTGGAAATGACGACCGACCCAATGCCAACACAGTCAACAATATAACCATGTAGATACTGACCACCAAACCTCTAGTTCTTGCGGGGGCTAACCGAGTGTCAGCATTTAGTGTCAGCCAATTGTGTCCAGATTGCGCAACCCATACCAATTTCGGATAAATACAACGGCGTGCTAACGGTGAGTATTCCCGCCCCTAGTCCACTGCATAGCCTCGCCGCAAGAATCAAACCGTATATGCCAGAGGAGAAAACCTGAACGAAGAGACCGGCCGCCCAAATCAGACAAGCTAATCGCCACGAGCGCAGGCGTCCCAGACGATCGTTCAAGTCCAATGCGAGCAGGGCGCCAAACGCAGCACCCAAAACGTTGAACGAGGTGATGTTGGCTCTGCGGTTGGCCAGCTCGGTCTTGTCATTCGTCCGTTCAGAAGCTGCGAGATGGAAATCGTTCACAAACGATTCCAAGTTGACACTGGCGCTAAAGCCACCCTCATCGTAACCTGCCGATTGACACGACATCCACGGTCAGCACACGAATTGGCGGAGAAATAAAGAAGCACATACAAAGACGCACATACCTTTCGGAATACTCCCGCAGGCAATAATCAGAATGACGATGGCGTAATATGGACTGGTGGTCCACCGAGACCAGTCAATCGCCCGCCTCATGATGGCGATGGAACGTTCGATGACATGCGGGGAAGAACTACTGGAGCAAGTACTAATTCAAGCTCGCGGGGATAGCCTGATGGAATTTACCAATTGATTGGTATCATTTGGGCAATCAGATAATGGATACCCACCAAGGCCTCGTTCTGGACGATCGAGGTCGGTATCTTCCGCGGGAACTGTGATGATTTTGCAGGGGGCGGAAGAGCACATGACACGGCTATCGTCTCGGCCAACTTCCGATCATTTTTTATGATCGTGTCCCTTGCGCATCACGTCTGTGTGTTGGTTCTGAGCCAATTTCCGTTCCCAAGAACACTATGGCATCAGCATAACTGATTGATGCAGAGGGGGGTCTTCATCAGTCTTCGGAACCCCCCGATGTTAACAGTGGTTGGGCCTTGCAAGGCTGGCAGATCTGGCGGATGGATCCGCTGGCAATCCACTCTAGTCTCCGCTACACCGAATTTATCCTGAATGGAACGGTCGGATGTGCGATGGATCATGGGTCAATGGAAGGATCCAAGGAATGCGATATGAAGTCGCTGAGCCGTTGATTCACAGACACGGACACCTTCCGCTCCATGTGTCACACAACACTGACGCGAGGATCGTGTGCCTTTTTTCCTTTTAAATTCTTTCTGTTCCCCTTCCCCTCTATCTCTCTAATAACCATGCATCTCTGGTAAAGCAAACGGGAGCGGGACTGTTCTCATGTTCATAGTTCTAGCCACATTCCTTGTTGAGGTGGCGCATTACGTGGATTCTCGAGGCTGGTCTCTGCGATGACAGTCTTACGCATTGATCTGCTAAGACGAGCAGTCCGGAGATCTCGACTTTTAACACTTGTAAGTTAGCACTCGTCAGCATCTACTCGCTGGAGTACCTGACGTCCGATCATGTCAACCATACTCATTCCCCTCCAGTCTAGGCCATGCCTTGTGGCCAGGTCACTTCGAGCCTCAATCTGCCTGGCTGCCAGGAAGGCCGAGCCAATCATCAAAGATCACCAAACCAATCCCATTCCAATCAAGCACCGTATTCCCCCAGGATCATGGGATAGCCACATGCACGTCGTGGAACCGAGTCGGTACCCGGTGTCCCCAGGCGCAGCATACATACCCTCCTCTCACACCCTCGAGGAGGCGCTTGCCTTTGAATCTACTTTGGGAATGGAGAACGTCGTTCTCGTCCAACCATCCATCTACGGTACCGACAATTCATGCCTCCTCGAAGCCCTGGAACGCATCGGCCCGTCTCGCGGGCGAGGGGTGGTGGTCATCGACACGGCCACGACCTGTCCCACGACTCTCTCCGCATGGCATACACTAGGCGTGCGGGGCGTGCGAGTAAACCTGAAATCAGTAGGGAAAGTCCTCTCCGAGGCCGAGCTAGCCGAAACCCTCTCGCAACACGCCGAGCTCATCCGTACTCTCGGCTGGATGATCCAGCTTTACTTGCCTCTGCACATGATGCCCATGCTCGAGCGGATCGTTCCGTCCCTTGGAGTCAAAATCTGCATCGACCACTTTGGGTCTCCTCAACTCCCTCCACCCTCGATCATCACCAATGGTCAATTCAACCCATACACCCTCCCAGGCTTTTCGGCGCTTATCTCACTCCTTCAAGCGGGGCAGACCTACGTCAAAATCTCGGCCCCGTATCGCCTCAGCAAGGACAAGCAACTGCGCGATCTTGGGGCCATCACGCGGGAACTTTTACGCAGGGCTCCGAGGCGGGTAATATACGCGACAGACTGGCCGCATACGCGGTTTCATGGGGTTGACGTTCGCCCGTTTACCGAGATGTGCCTGCGGTTATGTGCCAGTGAGACTGGCCTAACCGAGCGGGTGTTCAAGTCGAACGCGGAGGAGTTGATGTGTGTGCATGGCTAGCGCGATACGATTTACGACTTACGACGTGATGTAATTGCAGTTTCTATTTTCCCCCATCACATGAACGGAAAGAGACCGTCAAAATCTCGGTCAGAGTCCGGTGAGCCGCTCAGCCGGTGTGTGGGTTAGTCTCCTGTGCTCGATTAATTAATTGTTGTGGAAGGATTTGCCGAGATGCCGGCAGATGGGATGGGGGATTTCCGCATCTCCACTCTCTGGGCGAGTACTGTGGCATATTATTGTTTACAGAGTAGTCAAGCTTGGTCGCTATTTTCATGACTAATAAATAATCATATTATCTCTCTAATGATCGATCATATTACATTGCATGGTGACTTCGTACAGATCAGACACCAGACTCTATAGGCTAACTATTCTGAAGTATTCTCCTGTTGACTCGAGGTTTCCTCAGGAATCATAACCAGCACAATAACAATCCATATCCATATCCATATCCATATCCAGCCACATTCACATCATATCCCTTTCCTGTATACCATATACACTCCCCCGCTCATCCTACAAATCCTGAATATACCCATTCGAAGTACAAATAAACACATGCTCCTATCATCATCCACCATTAGCCAGCCTTCTTTCCCCACTCCCCTCCAGGATACTGCCAGAGGAACTTACAATCGTATAACAACAAACCGGCACCGTCCCGTCATTGGGACACGTATCCCCCACCGTCTTCGGATCCGCAGGCGTACCTACACACATCAGTCATCAGCTTCTCACTTTCCGATCTTTTTGCAACAACTAAGGATGAGGCGTACACTTGTCCCCCTGCAGGAAACTCTCGGCGTAGCGCGCAGGCACCAGATCATCGCAGCAATAGGCCTTCTGGATCATGTTCGTGCCGTCTTTGGCCATTTCGCAGTAGTAGCTTAGGTCTGCGCGGGCGAGTTGGGAGGTTAGGGTCAGGGTGGAGAGGAGGAGGGTGGTGGGGTGGAGTTGAAGTTTCATTTTGCGAGTTTTCTGTCGTGTGGTGTGGTGTGTTGTGTTGGGTGGTTGTTGGCTGTAGTGAGTTGATGGAGATGGGATGGCTAGATAAGAGGCTCGCTGATGAGGGTTCTGTAGAAATAGATAAGAGGATACTACTCCGTACCTAGGGATGGATATGCGTAGGCGCCGACGTGTTGTTATGCGGCGTTGCGGCGGTCCCTTGCATTGTTTGAGATGGCGTGGTATGTGGCCCCGTGGATGAAGTATGGATCATCGTCATTCATGCAGGGGCATGTTAAATGATCTGCGTTCTCCTTCCTGGAGTGAATCATGTTTTACGTGGGTTGCTAAGTGGAGGGACTCTACGCGTTGCTAACTTGCTATGACATGGACTATGTACAAGACATAATATGGACTAGTTTATTATCCCTTGCACTAGGCTGGATTTAATTAAGTACAAAGATGAGGGCAGGCTGTCTGTACACTAGTTGAGATCGATCTCGGAAGGACCAGTCAGATCCAGGCTCGTCTTGATGGTCACTGCCTGGCGGCCAGAGTCAAAGGAGGCCACGCTTCCAGACTTGGAGGCAGGCGCAGACTGGCCAAGCAGGGTGACGGCGTTGATCTTGACATCCGTGCGGAAACCGAACTTGCCCTTCACCCGGAGACGGCCCTTGCGGTACGTGAACTCCAGCTCGAGGGTCGCGCGCTGCTCGATGGAGTCGCCGTCGTCGAGATACAAACTGCCCGAGGCAGTCCCATCAAGTCCTGGGGCGATGATGAGCTCGAAGCCCTTCTTGCGCAGCTCGGTGGTGGTCATGGCGGACTCGGACCGGATGGGGATGATGCTGCCGCCGCGGATGTGGATGGGGATCTCGGTCACGTCGATGTTGCCGAGGGTGACGTTGGCTCCGCGGCCGCGCAGGGCGGCGCCCGTGTGCCAATCGTAGAAGATGTCGTCGGGGAAGTATGCGTCGACTGAAGTCTGGCTCCCGTCGGTGACAGGGCTGACCAGGATGGCGTCGCCGTAGAAGAACTGCAGCTGGTTGCTGAAGGTGTTCTTGTCCTTGGGATAGAGGTAGAACATGGGCTGCAGGAAGGGCTCGCCGGTCTGGGTCTGCCGGTGGAAGGCTGTGTAGATGTAGTCAAGCAGCCTGTAGCGGATGTCGATGGCCTTGCGAGCGGACTCGGCAACGGTAGGCCAGCGGTAGAACTCCTGCGGGATGCCGGTGATTTCATTGTGGTTGCGGAAGAAGGTGTAGAAGGCTCCGAGACGCGCCCAGCGAGCGCAGAGCTCCTCGGTGGTGTTGCCGCCGAACCCGCACACGTCTGATCCGATCATGGGCACCTGGAACATCGAGGCAAACGCAAGCATCTGCGCGATGGAGACGCGGTACTTGCTCCACTCGGAGATGTTGTCACCAAGCCTGCCAGTGTCAGTGTAAGCTTCGCAGGTTTTAGATGGATGCACACCTACCAGTGTCCAACGTGGGCGCCAGCACCAGCATACGTGCTGCGAGTGATGACCAAAGGCCGCACCTCAGGGCGGCGGTGTTGCATGGCATTGCGAGAAGCAGAACTCATCACTTTGAATGTTAGACTGTCCTTGTCATCAGGTAGACGCCTACTTACTGGTACCATAAAGGTTGTGAGTGTCATACTCGGCATATCCCTCACCGGCATGAATGATGTCGGTGTTGATGGTCTTGTTGCTGAGCGAGCCAGCTTCATTGCGGATCATGTACGGAGGGTTAATCAGGTCACGGTTAGGCAGTCCAACTTTAGATCCCTTGGTGGAGCGCTTCGACGAGGATGAGGGCTGGAAATCACCAGGGAATCCGGGCAACGGGCGCGGGTTGCTGGGACGAACGGGGGGAGCGGCGGGAGGCAGGTCGTTATCCCTAGAGTAGCCCTCGGGATCACTGCAAGGGTAAGGGCAGAAGTTGGCGGCCTCGTTCATATCGATCCACAGACCGTCAATGTCGACGCCGGTCTTGCGGTCGAAGAATTTGGCAAACTGGTCGTTCCAGTACTTTTGGATGTCAGGGTGGAACCAGTCAGGATAAGCAGTCACACCAGGCCAGACAGCACCTGTATAGGGTCAGTATCTGGGTGTCATTGATACTTTGGGTGAGGCTTACCCTTGTAGAGGCTACCGTTCTGAGTCTGTAGGAAGATGCCTTGCTCCATGCCATCGTTGTAGCCAACGTTGTCTAATCATTTGTCAATATGGCCCACACCCTCCATACTTGGAAAGGTAACTTACCGCTGACGCTGACGGCCGGGTCAACCATGACGATGTAGCGCTGGTTGTGGTTGTGAAGATATGTCACCAACTCACGCAACTTCTCGAGCGGGAATCGCTCAGGGTCAAGTGTGAACACCCGACGTCTGTCCATGTAGTCAATGTCGGTCCACATGGTCTCCAGTGGAATCTTCGCCTGGGTGTAGTTGTAGACAACCTCGGCGACCTCAAAGACATCACGATAGCCGTATCTGCATTGGTGGAACTAGAAGAGAATTAGAGAGAAGGACGGCAGATCGAATCAGGGAGACGTACACCGAACGTCCAGTAGGACTGCATAGCGGGAAGACCGACGACTTTCGCATACTCGATGCTGGCATCCTTGGGAGTAGCACCGGTAAAGAAGTAAAAGTCAAAAACACCTCCCAGAGTGTTGTACTCCAAGTACTGTTTGCCATCCTCGGTCTTGTCGATCTTGATGTCCATGCCGTTGGAGTTCAGCAAGAAGACACCGTGAGTGCCGTCTTGGCCACGGTGGTCATAGTACACGGGATGAGTGCCGTACAGGTTGGTCTTCTCAGGAATAGCATACGCGTCACGATTCCACAGAGTACGCGTGTAGTTGGTGGTCTCCAGACGAAGAGAATCAGTGTGCTCGCCAAGACCGTAGAGATTAGGATCCTCGGGCAACCAGGTGCGGAGGTTCAGGTACTGCGACTGGAAGATCAGGTTCGAACCGGAGGTGTCGAAGAGCACCTCGCCGCCTCTCTTGACCTTGAAAGAGAAAGGATTCGCCTGATAGTCGAACTTGAGCGCCGACTTCTTGCCCGATCCACCTTTGCCATCCACGCGAGGGAGAACCGACTCGGGGACTTGGTAAACCTCCTCATCCGCGTCATAGATCTTAACATGGAGACGTTTATCTAGAAAGAAGTAAGCTACAATCATTGCCGTTTCAGGCTGAAAACATACCGGTCTGGTACTCAACAAGAAGTTTCAGATTCTTCAAGTCGGTGCCGTAAGTGTTGCACGGTGTACCGGCCAAGGTCAAATCCGCCGTTAACGAATTGCGACCCTCTCTAATATTCGTGGCCTTGTAACCAGGACACTCCTGACTGTTGTCCCTGACGCCGAGCACGGCAGCGCCCACAAGGGGCGCAAGAAGTAGCAGCGATCTCAGCATGTTGAGACTTGAGACTTGAGATCGGTACTGGAGATGAAGTGAATCGAAAGTGAGGGACACCAGGTTTATATGCGTTTGACGTGCGCTCTAGCGGCAGAACATTCCATCGGACGCATCTAGTACTTTCCCGGAGCACGGCCAGTGGCGCAGGCGTTCATCTGGCTGTATGACAACACCAGACGCATCAGATCAATCAGATCCAAGTACGCGGAACGACTGCGCGGAGATTACGCCTGGGCCGAAGTCTACAAGTACCCGGCAATTGGCCGTCTCGGGCTGGGCAGGAGAGCTCTGAGCAAGAGGACTAGACTTGATTTGCTCAGTTGGATCCCTTAAAATGAGGTCAAGTGCATTATTTCGTTTGCAGGGTCTTGGTCAGTCGGTCAAATATCGGGGATCCAACCAGTCCGTTTTTGGTGCGGATGATGCTGATCTTGTCCGGGAATGGGAACTGCATAAATGAATATTATGCACTATAGAATATGCTCTATTGGCGTATTGCAGGGATCATGCACCCAGTCAGTTATTCTTATTATTAGCACCCCGCGTTGATTTGAGACTTATTCATGCTTCATTGTGTTGGGAACATCAGATATGTTAGCTTTAAGTAAATGAAGTTGTGAGCGCTCAACCTGGGCAGATTAAGGAGCTCACAACCCGCAAAATGAAATGACTCGGAAGCTTCAAAGTCATCGATGCCGGCCCGACATTGAAATCATCGTCTCTGCCAAGCATGTATCCAGCATGCTGACTGGTAGAGAGCAACAAATCACCAGATTGCCAAGAGGAGCTTTCCCCGCTTGTTTCCCCGCTGTGAAGTCTGTGAGCCTGAGCTGGCTGTGATGGCTGTAATGGCAGGTCGAGGCCGGGGTCCTCATCACTTGCAGGGTAGTACTCATTACCTTAGTGATGGCACGGTTTCGTCAGAGATCGTATTCAAGTCAATCAAAACTCGCATTCAATTCCATAAGAAGAATTTCTGTCTGGAGAAATGAGGGGATCATGATATTGCAATGAGAATACAGGTAGCTTGAGATGATCTCAACATGGCCACTCATTTCAGCGAATATATACTCTGTAGATCCCTATCATCGCTCCTGGTTTTATCCTGTCTGCCCTTGTGGCATGTACACGTTCTCTCCTGAGAGTAGGAAGCCATATTTCTAAGATCTGCAGGGCAAATATGTACTTTTGGTGTTTTGTATCCACTATGTACTCACACACTCTGACATCATAATATAAGTATGGAATTGTGAAGGCCTAATGTAGAGAGGTAGAGGTACACTGACCTCAACCGTGGATATAATTTTAGTTCAACCAAGTAATAACAACAAGTATCCTCGGTTTCACCATGTCTTCAAGCGACCTCGGTTATGTCGCCTGAACATGACTTCTGGATTCATCTATTGACGGTCTCCGGGATATTCTAAATTATTAATTAGAGTCAATGTTCTATACCCAAGGCTTCTAGACCCAGGCAGTCCGATCCAAGACATGGTCTAGTTACTTAAAAGGAGCTACCTCGCTGTTAGACTTGCCTCAATGCCGCATATGAAAGAAAGGACGTTATCTATTAGAGCCACCAGCCACTCAACCAATCTTTGACAAAAGTTTCGAAATGTCTATATTTCAGCATGGATGCACATATAGCAATCATCAACATCAGTACATGGCATGGTCATCATCGCAATGCAAAGAACATGACAGATATGCACGGTGCCATCGAAAATGAATCAACAAAACAACTCCAAACGATTCCAATCCCGTAAACGCCACCAGTATGGACAAGTCCAAGTCAGGTCTACTGAGCAGCCGAAGCAGCCTTGACATCCTCCTCCGAGCTCATGATCTGGACCTTGATTGCTCCAGTCTTGGGGTTCGCGGCCGTCTCGAACGCCTTGAGGGCATCCTCCAGCGCGAACCGGTGGGTGACCAGGCGCTTCAAGTTGATCACGCCGTTCTGGACCAAACGGATGGCGCGAGGCCAGGTGTTGCAGTAGCGGTACTGGTACTGCAGGTCGATCTCTTGTGTGCTTAGGCGCATGAACGGGATGGTCATCTCGTTCTTGCCGACGCCGATGACGAAGACCTTGCCGCCGAACTTGACACTCCAGATGGCGGAGGCCACACTGCTCTCTACACCTGTGCATTCCAGCGCCAGGCGGGGTCGCAAGGCATCCGGACCGGATCCTTGGCCGTCGTTGAACACATTGACAATCGCATTGGCTTGCTCCTCGGCGGAGAGACCAAACTGGACCTTGTAGGTGCGCACTTCGGGGACAAGAGACTTGGCGAACTCCAGACGTCCCTCGTCAATATCCGTAATGACGAGCGGGGTGGCACCGGCAGCTTTCGCGCTGAGCAGAGTGATCAGACCAATAGGACCGGCACCTGTAATCAAGCAGGGATCGCCCAGACGGAGTCCGCTGCGCTCAATTGCCGCAAGAGATACACTGAGGGGTTCCAGCAGGGCTCCATCCTCGAAGCTCATGTCGCCGATCTTGTGGCACCAGACGGCGGGGTGGTTGACATAGCGTCGCAGCAGCCCGTCAACGGGGGGTGTGGATAGGAAGGCAACATTCAAGCAGCCGTTGTAGCGTCCCGTCAGGCAGGGCTCGCAAGCGTGGCAAGGGATATTGGGCTCGATAGCAACACGATCGCCGGGTTTGAGGGATGTGACATCGGGAGCGACCGCAATCACTTGACCAGCCGACTCGTGACCCAGGATGTGATCGCCCTCGACAATCATTGGGCCAATGCAACCTGCATGCCAGAAGTGTACATCAGATCTGTGTGTTTCCGAGTGTCATTGGTCAGCTACTGCGTACGACACGAGAAAGTATGACGCACAACAAGGAATAGGAAGAGCATACCCGCAAATACCTGTGCTGCGAACCTCAATCGTAACCTCACCAGGCTTCAGTCCGTTGCCGCTCTTGACATCCTCCAACGTTGGTGCTGATTCCGCGATCCACAGATCGTGCTTGGGGTTTGTGTAGACGCCGATGTTAGGCTTCTCGAGCACAGTTGTGGTTGCGGTAGCCATGGTATCCGACTCGTGGTAGAAGGACTGGACAAGACAATGAGAGGAAATCAAAGGGTATAGAGTGTGAGGGAAAGATTGTGCAGAGAGGGGATAGAGGGGAGGGTAGTAGGGGGACCAACAAGCTTTAATACTCGGGTTGCCCCTCTAAGGATAAGAGTACAAAAAAATTCATGATGGATATTCAGCTCCCGCTGGCCGAATGATAATCCTCCATGATTATTATGATTATCGAAGATCCATAGGTGGCCAGCTTGAATCAGAATCGAAGTTCAGCTCCCGAGTGTTACAACCTCCTGCGGGACAGGACACAAAGTGGGATGGATGGAACGGACAGGATTGGTGTGGAGTAAGTTACTAACGGCTGTTCATACTCAGTACGTAGTAGGAGGTACTTACACCGCACTACCTACAGACCACGAATGGTCCGTTTAGCCGGCTTTCATGTTCAAGTTGTCAACTTGTCCCGCAGTCCGCGGGGGTTTTGCATCTGGACACTCTTCATTGGTTGAAACCAGGCTCAAGCTCCATTTTCAATTGGAGTACAGTCCTCTCCTCTCTATGCTACTACCAAATATGCCTATTTTGGGGTATGGTCCCTACGGTGTCGGAGAATTGAAACACCACCGCAGACAGAGGAATTGTCCGCGATTCTTGTGTCCAAAATGAAGTAGATAGTGTGTAATATAAGCTACCTAGTTCCGGAGTATCTCTTCCCCTGCGACAAGTGCTGCATGGTAGATCAATACAATGACCCTGATCCATGAGGGAAATAGTCCGATGGAGAGAACGGTGCTTGTCTTGCAACAGTGTCGATAATTGGATACTCAATATATTCGTCTCAGGGTACTATCTTCAATCATGAACACAGTTTTACCTCCCCGATCTTGAATACTGCCGTTGAAACACCCACTCGGTTAAATTGAGATACAAAGGTTATTTTAGCCTCCGGGTGGATCTCAAAGCGTCAATGACCCGCGAAAGCCAACAATTACGGAACCGAAAAAGAAAAAAAAAAAAGAAAAAGAAAATAAATATCAAATTCACGACATTCAAAGGTCGCACAAGAACCTCAAAATGCGATTCCTGGACCACCCAACAGTCCGGTGGACTCCGCCCAGAGTGGCAATTCTCCGGCGGGCTCGTCATCCTTTGGTGGAGAATATCATTCGCGCCGGGCAGTTTCTTACCGACATCATCGACATCATACTCCTTTATGTTCTTCGTGCCGCTGGAGCATGCCGAAAAGGCGATATCTTGCTCTAAGCTATGGAGTTTGAAAGATTCGGATGCTCACATGACAGGAGTTCACTTGAAAGAATTGAGATGTGATCAGACGTGGATTATCACCCTCGAATGCCAAAGGAGGCCAGTCCAGGTGGAGGAAACAGATAAATGAGAAGTCGCACACGAAGCTGCTGCGCAAGGGTCCGGACCAGAATGAAGCCAGCAGTCCTTTGCCTGCTCGTTAGACTGAGGGTTACCCGTCGCCTTCCTGCAGAAGCAATCCGCTGATACTCTCATGGATAACGTCCAGTGGGACATTGGAAAATATAAACTAAGATACCTACAAGGATGATTGGCACACTAGGCTAGAAAAGAACTACAGACTGAGCCTCTTGAGGATTGTAAGTCACAAGTCTGCCGGCGAGCCAGAGACCCATTCTAGGTGCTGGTCAACCGATGAGTAGACGTAACTGAGCCGATATTGACACCACCGCATCGAAACACTTTATATCTTCCAGAAGAAGCTTATCTTGTTTGTGTCCACCCCAAGCCGGATAGAAGAAGTAAATCTTATCGGCTGTTTGCTACTTTAGCCCGAGGACCCCCCGCGCCTCTCACATGGATGTTGGGGGCCTCCTCTCGCCATCTGCCCAATCCCAACTGAGAATCTGTTTGCAGGCTTGTGGATCATCATAGCGATAGTATGACGTTTCTTGCAGCTGTGCTGGTACTTGTGATTGGTACACTGCAAGTCACTCGAGGCTAAGCATACAGAAGGTTAATAGAATCTTCAAAACGGACTCGCTGTTAATAAATAGACAGCTTTTGGTCGTACCAGCGATCTCTGTAACAGTACTAGCACTGATGGTGACGACGTGCGGATAATCTTGCTCCACCATAGACCAATACCCGGGTCAGTCGCCCTATATCGGGGAGCCGACTGGCCTAGAGAGTACAGACCTCAAAAGAAACCAACAAGTATTGCAATGTGATTACAACTCGGGTCGTAGCTCATAGCTTCAAGGCCAGAGACTGTGTCAGGTTTAAGAGAGTTCATTGCAAATGCAGAGCTTCATAAAAATATCCCGTGCACGCATGGCTGACAACGACCGAGATAGACCTGGTATATCTAGCCCTTGCGCGAGTCCGAGGCTGGAGAAGTCCAGTAATTCAATCAGACATCCCTGAGTCAACGAGGCAGAAATTTCTATGTTTCGCTACACTTGCGCTGCAGCTTCATCGGGGTGCGGGTATCGTCTCTCAGACACTCAGCCCACGACTGTAATGCAGTTGCATAGCAAGTGTCTCTTGTAGTCCTGGAGTAATCTAGAGCTTCGAGTTCTCCGTGCGATTCTCGCAGCAGTAAGTACGAAACCATTGAAGTGATGCGAGCGAGGTCTTGGACGCAATGTCCCAAGGTTGTTTCAGTATTAAGACATTCCATGGATGTTTACATCACTTAGCAATGAGAGCCTTTAAGCCTCCATGACAGAATGCCATACGTGATGTTGCTTGACGGAAAGATGAACGGAAGTCACGTTGCCAAAATCATGAAAGTGCCCTGTTGTCACGTGACCACAAAAGCGGCGGCCTTGTCCATTCCCTGAAGTTCCCGAGCGTCAAATCTCAGTCTTCGGTCCTTGCAATTGCGCGACAATCCTGTGTTTCTGGCTACTGACCTCCCGCCATTGGACTACTTTGTCCCCCGCCGGTGACCTTCAAAAGTTGTCTCTCTTTTTCTATCGTCTTTCCCTTCCAGTCGCCATCACAATGCCCGTCACGGCTTCCCGTGCCGTGCTGCGGCAATCGCAGTTCCTGACCCGCAGAACCGCGGTCAGATATGCCTCCAACACCTCTGAGGCCGCCTCAAAGGCCAGTCAGACTGCCTCCTCTGCTGCCTCGAAGGCCTCCGAGGGTCTCTCCCGTGTCACTTCGACGGCTGGTCCTGCGATCTCGAACGCTGCTCAGGGTCTCGGTAGCGCTCTGAGGAAGGTCGGTGGAAGAACCGGGAAGGTCATTGCCTTTGTCGACTGTAAGCAGATTTGTTTCTTTTACTGCCCTGTTTTGTCCTCTTGGTGGATGATAAAGTGATTGGCGTGGGTGCTTGACCACTGATTTGGTCATCATTCCGGCCCGTCGCTCGGAGAACATTGTCCCTTGATACTGCTCGATAAGTTTCCTCGTTCAGTGCTAACCATTGTGCTCATGCAATAGCTTTGATACCCCCTACTATCTATTACTCGAAGGTCGGCCTCGAGCTCGCTAAGCTGGTATTCCGTGGCCAGAACATGACTCCTCCGTAAGCACATTCACCACCGTGCAAAAGACCAGGCGCACACGCAGTCCACTGACTTCCATATTAGCAACCTGGCTACCTTCCAGGCTTACTTCCAGCCTCTGGTTAACGCTGCTCGCAACCCCGCCAACCTCAAGAACTTCTCTCCCCAGAACATCATTTCCCGGGTTCGCAATGCCAACAAGAAGGAGCTTGCTTTCGCTGGTGTTACCGCCGCCGAGGTTATTGGTTTCTTCACCGTCGGCGAGATGATCGGTAGAATGAACATTGTCGGCTACAGGGGCCACGCCGATCACGGCGACCACCACTAGAGCAATTTCAATCAATCATACCTGGCCTGTTTATTTTCCTTTGTCTTTGTTCCTCCTATGCTCTGTACTATTGTATGATAGACGATGGAATTCAAGCTGTTGTCTGAGGTAAAACATCTGAAGTTGGTGGTGCCATGCCATGTTCCATGTGTGTCGGGCTGTTGGCTAGGGAGAGGTCGGTTGTGACAACTGGCTGATGTCTGGGGGTGACTTTGCTTCAAGAATATTGAATTTGATCTAAAAATATAGACAGATTCTCTATCATAGAATACTGCTTGATTCATTCCTTCCCTGTAACCCTTCGTCGCAGCCTGGTTTCCCATATATCTGACTTCCAGAGAATTCGGACTTTTTGAACAGTAAAGAGCAAATGCAACAAATCTACTCCAGAGACTACTCCTTCTATAAATATACACGATCTTTGAAACACTGTATCTAAATAAGAATCCATATATCTCAGCTGTAGTCCTCTATGGTGCTCTTAGTGGATGCTCAAAAAAAATCAGGAGACCGAGCGCGTCCTCGCATCTGATTGGTCCGTGCGGGAAAGAATTTCTGCATCGGGACTTTTCTTGTTCACGGAGAACCCGACAACCATCGCAACAAAGAACAGCTTTGATCAGACCAGGCGCGATCGCGTACATCGACTTATCTGCATAAGCATTTATCATCTTATGCGTTGAAGATGGACGCCTTCAAGTTGCTGACAAGGGCAACCAAGTTGAAGGGTGGCGCCGCCCCATCATCAGCGCAGAGCTCGACCCGTCTCCCGTCTACGGGCAAGGCGGCGAACCCGCAGCTCTTCCGTAGCTCGGAGGCTGACAAGGTTCTGGAAGAAGCCAGACATGGGAAGAAGAGGAAGAGAGTGGCTGGTCCGGAGGCAGCTGAGTCGGATGATGATGGTGCGGAGTTGAACTTTTTCGGCTCGAGTAAGGCTCGGCGGTCTAGTGCTTCGATGGCCAAGGAGCAGGAGAAGGAACAGCAGGAGCAGCAAGAGCACCGGGATGATACATCTGATGCTGATGATGCTGATGAGATGGATGAGGTGCAGTGTCGTACTGTGCTGAATGCGCACAAAATCAAAGTCACGGATATGCGTGACTTGGAGGAAATCCAGACTGTGCGTGTTGAAAGTGAGGAGCCGAAGAAGAAAAAGAAGAAAAGGAAGCAGCAGGAGGAGTCTACGCCGGCACTTACTAAAAAGGAGCAGAAAAAGGCTCGCAGAGTCTATCCTCAGCCGCTTGTTTCGTTCAAGGAGTTGCGCACCCGGTACAAGATTTCTCGCCGGCTTGCCGAGAACATCGCCGAGCAGGGATTTAGCGTGCCTACGGAAGTCCAGCTGGGTACTCTGCCACTGTTGCTTGAGGGTTTCAAAGTTTCCGGGAATTCAAAAGATGCTGAGAGCATTGAACCCGACTTATTGGTTGTGGCTCCAACCGGCAGTGGAAAGACGCTGTCTTTCCTGATTCCTGTGATCAACAAGATAGTCCGCCACCACCATGAACAAGAGGAGGAGCGTGGCATCTTCTCTGTCGTCGTTGCACCTACGAAAGAGCTTGCGAGTCAGATCGTGAACGAGGGAAGGAAGCTGGTCCATGGGACTGGGGTGAAGATTACTCTAATGAAAAAGGGCATGCGAGTGGTGGACCGCGAGGATGATGACGATGAAAACAGTCACAGCGAAGATAGCGAAGAAGGTTCGGAATCCGAACAGGACGAACCATCCACTACAAGGAAAAAGAAAGGGAAAGCCCCTGTTACCAAGAGCGATATCCTCGTCACTACGCCGTTACTTTTGGTCAATGCGCTCTCAGCCAACCGAACCAAACCTATGGCTACTCTACCTCTGGTTAGGAATATTGTTCTTGACGAAGCAGATGTCCTGCTAGACGAGCTCTTCCGCGATCAGACCCTCGACATCTGGCGCGCCTGCACGCACCCCGAGCTCCGAGCAAGTCTGTGGTCAGCTACCATGGGATCCAACATTGAAGATCTCGCCAAGAGCACTATCAAGGAGCGGAAACAGGCCTACGATCGAACCAACTCATATCCCTTGCTTCGTCTTGTCGTAGGGTTGAAGGACTCTGCCATCCCTAATATCGAGCACAAGCTGGTCTATGCCGCAACGGAGCAGGGAAAACTCCTGGGTCTACGACAGCTCCTACATCCAGCAGCGGCCTCGGCTTCTGATGTCCGCCTCCGCCCACCCTTCCTGATTTTCACTCAGACCATCCCCAGAGCTATCGCCCTGCATTCTGAACTGCGGTATGATATTCCCGCCGAGGCCGGCGGCTCCTCACGAATCGCAGTCCTTCACTCAGATCTTTCAGACGGTCAGCGCTCCGAGATCATGAAGAACTTCCGCAAAGGTGAAATCTGGATCCTCGTGACGACGGATCTATTGGCGCGCGGCGTGGACTTCCGGGGCATCAACGGAGTCGTCAATTACGACATTCCGAACTCGGCTGCGGTCTACGTCCACCGGGTTGGGCGAACGGGCCGGGCTGGCCGCGAGGGTGGCATTGCAGTGACTTACTACACCAAAGAAGATATCCCGTACGTCAAGAGCATTGCCAACATCATCGATGTCAGTGAGAAGCTGCGTGGCAAGGACGGAGAGAAATCCATTCAGAAGTGGTTGTTGGATGCACTGCCGGACTTGAGCAAGAAGGACAAGAAGGAGCTGAAGAAACATGGCGTCAAGGCCCGACAGTCCAACCTCAAGAGCGTCAAAGACGACAAGGAGCACCGGAAGACAAGGATTAGTACCAAGAGCGGATTTGACCGACGGATGGAGAACAAGAAGAAGGCCCTCATTGCAGCCAGCCGCAACAGAAAGTCCAAAACGCAGTCTACGGACCCTGGTAGCGACAACGAGAGCTGGGATGGCCTCGATGGCTAGGTTTTTAGCCGTCCCCTTCATATCTAATGTATTACTGTATAAATAAAAGTTACGATTCCCCAGAAATTAGCGATCCAGATCACGAATTATCATTTTTATTACTTTGTTCAACCTGAGGAACCTGCGGAACCATCGTCCTCTTGAGCTTTATTGGCGCAAACGGATTATCCAACTTACCCTCCTCCTTGAGAACCCACTCCAACTCATCACCGTCCCGGTCAAAGTAGACAGCCCAATTCCCATCCTCTTCCTGAACAGCCATAAAAGCACTCTTCCCTTCCAACGTGATAGTCGTCTCCTCGTCCGCCCAATCCCACGGCCCGACTACATGCTGCACACTCTGCGACCGATTCCCATACTTCAGCTCATGTGTCTCATTATCCGCGTAGATCCAATTCAACATGGGCGGGTTATCCGATATGGTAGTTACGAGGCCCAGACCTCTTTTCAAGTGCTTCGTCTCCTCCAGCTCGGGGTAGTCGATGTAGAACGATTCGGCCGTGTGAGAGGGGTGTTTGCGATTAGCGGGAAGGGGATCATCCAGGTAGACCTGTTGCATAAGTTCCATCATTAGCCGCCTCAATTCAATGGATTGGGTTATATATATATTATAGGTACCTTGTTGTCCCTCAAGACTATCCGCTTTCCGCGTATCTCGTCCTCTTCTTGTGTTTCGCCGGAGGTTTCAATGTCGATGTTGAATCGCGCCATCCGTCTGGCGTCCATTTTGCGTTCGTTGGCTTTGCGCTGTTCGCTGACTCCCATCGCCACGCCGGTGACGGTGGGGATTGCGGTGATTGCCAGGAGGCCGATGACCATTTTGCTAGTATGGCCTACGTGAATATATATTCGCAGACGGCGGAGGGTATAATGAAGTATGGACGTTTGATAATTTGAGGTGAGTGTGTGAATGTAAGATATACACAGATTTGAAAATACTACTGATTTCAAGTCAGTGACTGGTTGTTGATGGGGTATCGCATGAAGATTATTTGTTTGTATGGTTCATGTAACTCTACAATAGACATTAATATTCTAGATCGCTTGATGCATCTTGTGCCTCGTGGCCATGTCGTCATACATCAGCCGCACGTGATTCAAGGCATACTTCAACCATCTCGCTAACATTGTTCGGTGCAACCATCAGAGAATACTCATCTTGATCTCAGATAGTGTTTCTGATGAAGTTATGATTCGGTACTTTGATTGAGTACTAAAATGATATCTATGAACATCTGCAACAGCTCCAACGCATGCTTATACAAAGAGGCGAATCAAATGTGTAGTCTTTATCTAGTTCCATCGTCAATCTATCGTCTATGTCGTGACTTCGTGGAGACGGGCCAACAAGACCCGTATGAGAACCGGTAGGCTAGAGCTTCTCGCTCCATCCCCAGACTGACCACCAGCACCGGACCTCAAGTGCACCCCCGTCCGCCCCTTCCCAGTCGTCGTACCCGACCTCCTCGCCTTCTTCAACCACAGCTAAGCCCAGCTGTTGCATACGTTGTCGGAATTCTTGCACCTGAGGTAGGTATGCATCGCGCAGAGGCATTTCGACCACAACACGAGCGTCCAGTCCGCGGCTCAGCCAGTGACCGACCGTTTCAACCAGCCATTTGGGATGCTTTGGCGAGTACAACGGATCCGCAGCCAGAATGAGATCGTACTGTTCTTCCCTTGATGGGAGTGGTGACGGCGCGACAGACCAGTCCAGTACGCCTGTTGTGACCGCTGCATCCGTTCTTGTGAGCAGTTCGACGTTTAGGGAGACGTTATGGGCAAGATTTGGTACGATGTCCGGTAGGTCTGTGAGATGGATTGTCGCCGAGCTGCCGCGGAGAGCTGCGAAGGAAAGGCCCACGAGTCCGGTCCCGGCGCCCAGCTCCAGCGCTCGGAGCGTCCTGTCCGACTTGGGAGTGGTTGATGACGAAGGTACGAGCGGCGGTGTCATGTCGAGGATGTTGTGGAGGCGTCGGGAGAGGAGGTACGATGAGACCCAGGTTTTCATGCCTAGGTTGTCAGCGGTCAATGAGGGCTCGTACAGTGTCAGTGTGAGCTCCTCGTCGGATGAGGTAGGGATTGTGAAGACTCGGGACATGGCTGGCATGGCTACGTTCAGAAGACCCGGCGTTAGAATCCTCAAAGATCACTACAATTATGTCGTCTCATACCGGTGCGCCCAGCCCGCTCGCTCAACCGAGCGGCAGCAGTGTCCCAAATGGCCTCCCGCAGCTCATCAGTGTCTAGCCATGAAAGAGAGCTGGAGACGATAGACGTCAGATAGCGGGTTACTCCGCTTGGTTCGACTGTTCTGCTCTTCACCGCTTCTTGGCCAGCACTGGTACTGAAACCGCGTGGTTTGACTGCGAGAAGGTCAAGAGCTCGGAGAAGATCGGTGCCGGAGGGTTTGCTGTAGATCTGGGGCAGGTCGAGCACTGTGATAGAGGCTTATCAGCCCGATATCGCATGTTTATCACAAGCAGGCGGACATACCATGGAGAGGCTCGTCGAGATCGGCACTGATCATGATGGCAGTGGTCTGGTAGGATTAGCAACTCGATTAGTGAGAAACAGACTACAACAAGACAGTGTCATGCATAATTTGGTCTTGTAATCGGCACTTTGGCTTCTGCTGTGGCGAAGAGGTGTTGGAGATGCCACGATCCAGGCACAGAAAAAAAAAAAAGTCGTGATTACCCAAATAGGAAAGGTCGGCGTTCGTAGTCCCGCGGACCGGGGCTCCGCTTCGACCCAAAACCACCCGAACAGATAACTCCGACACGAGATAAAAGCGAGAAAAATGATTGGACTCATGGAATGCCATATCAATGCAATGCACATACCCATAACGCTGTATCAGCAGGTACTCCAGACGCCTATCGCTCACGATAACAAACAAGACTAAGGAATGTAATAGTTCTACCATCAGCCCAGCGTCGACTTGAATCCCTGATAAGCCTGCTCAATGTCAAAGGCCAACTCCCGCGCCTGTTCCTCGCTTAGCTCCTCTGTTGCGCGCATCTGGTTCAAAGTGATCAGCCACTGAATAATTTTGCCGCGGTTCTCAAAGTCCCCATCCGTCACTTTGTTTACGGATTGAATGACTTCAGACAGTAGCGGGTGAAGTGCATCTTTGGACACCATGTTCAGCTTCAGCGCGTCCAGGAACGTAATGAAGTTCTCGGTAGCCGTCAGAATGAGGCTACCTGAAGCGCCACCAATAGGACCTCCGGTGGTTGGACCTGCGTTGCCTGAAGGTGCTCCGTGAGAGGCTTGCTCGACTGTTGCGGGAAGGCCGATGCGGAGACGCTCAGTCGCGCGGGGACATTCCAGCTGCCAGAATAGTCAGCAACCAGTACCACGCTATACAGAAAGTGTGCTCACCCCCCATGCCCGCTTGAAGGTTTCCAGATCAACAAACTCCGCTGCGACGGCCTCATCGCCTAAACTGGACTTGTACTGCTTTAGTAGCCGGGTACATGTCTCGGTGTATTCCGCCTCTGTAACCACATCCTTGATATATGCCTTCTCGAGTCCATCAAGTGTGACGATGATACTGTAAATCTCGGCCAGCGATTCATGTAGGTCGCGTTCCGCGGAGCTGGAGGCTAGTTTCACTTCCTGGTACGACCGCAGTTAGCCAGCGGCTCAGCACGCAGGCGGTCGGAACGGGAGTACCTCATCGAGATTGATAGTCGCCGACAGCGCCGGGTTAGGCGTGTAGCTGTAAGGTGTAGGTGCATACGAAAGAGGCCGTTGAGCATACATGATAGTTACTTTCCAGCTCACTATTCTGATGGTGATAGCTACATGGGTGGAGGAGGGGAAAGGCGGTCACCCGATTGGGCGGCTCGGCGTGGATTCTGCCCCGACAGGAATTTTTTTTTCCTTTTACTTTCTCTCCACGATTGGCTTTTCAAGTATCCAACCATCTATTTCCAGATTTCGACTCCATCCTCGATAGGATTGGAGAATATACGGCAAGATGGTCGGAAGTCAGAAGAAGTCCACAAAGAAATTCGAGAAAAAGCATTTGAAAGATGTGCTCGAACGGCGCAAGGCGAACGCGAAAATTAAGCAGCGCATTCAGCACAAAGAAAAACGCAAGGCTGACAATGCCCGGGGGCGTGAGAATGGAGATGTTGAGGAGGAGAGTCCCGAGGAACGTAAGAAGCAGAACGCTTTTGCGGAAATGAACGTCGACGATTTTTTCGCGGGCGGATTCGAAATTGCAGACGCCGATACAGACAAGGGCAAGAAGTCTCGGAGGAAAGATGTTACCCCCAAGATCGGCAAACGGAAGCGGTCAGAGGAACAGAAGGAAGAGGACGAGGAAGCCTCATCTGCAGCCTCAAGTGAAGGCGAGGAAGATGGTGGCGTATCCGACGATGATGCGGAGTCTCAGGCCAGCAGCGCACCGGATGACTTCGAGGCGCACAAGGACCAGCTTCAAGCGTTGAAGGACAAGGATCCTGAATTCTACAAGTATCTGAAGGAGAACGATTCGGAGCTGCTCGACTTCGGTGAACACGGAGATCTTACTGAGGTCCTCGAGCTGAGTGAGGATGAGGAGGAAGAAGGGCCCGCAAAGAAGAAGAAGAAGGCGGCCAAGGATGAGGACGAGGAAGCTGCAGACAATACGCTCACGATCGCGATGGTCAAGAAGTGGCAGAAGTTGATGGAGGAACAAAACTCGATCCGCGCCATGCGGCAAGCCGTGCTCGCTTTCCGCTGCGCAGCGTACATCAACGAGGCGGAAACTCAAGAGCAAAAGTACTCAATCTCGGACCCCGATGTATACCATCAAGTTCTTGTGACAGCACTTGGTACGGTGCCAAAGGTGCTCGCGCATCATCTCCCGGTGAAGGAGACGGCCTCCGGAAAAGTCAGGGTGTCTCTGGATTCGAAGAAATTCAAGACCCTCACACCCCTCATCAAGTCGCATACATCCTCAGTTCATCAGTTGCTCGTCAATCTTTCCGATGCGTCGACGCTCAAGTTGACCCTTTCGTCCATCGAACCGATGCTCCCCTATCTGCTCCAGTTCAGAAAGCTCCTGAAAGTTCTCATCAAGACCATTGTCGGCATCTGGGCTGACGTCTCGACGACGGAGGCGACCCGGATCACAGGCTTCCTGCTGCTTCGCAAACTCATGGTCATTGGCGACTCCGGCCTCAAGGAGACGGTCCTCAAGGCCTCGTATGAAGGAGTGGTCAAGGGCAGCCGGAACACAACCGTCCACACGCTCTCCGGAGTCAACCTGATGAAGAACTCGGCCGCCGAGCTCTGGGGCATCGACCAGAACATCTCGTACACGACAGGCTTCAGCTTCATCCGGCAACTCGCCATGCACCTCCGCAGCAGCATCACCAACACCTCCAAGGAATCCTACAAGACCATCTACAACTGGCAGTACACGCACTCGCTGGACTTCTGGTCGCGCGTCCTCTCCCAGCACTGCGACGGCCTCGTCGAAGCCAAAGCCGGAAAGCAATCCGCCCTGCGGCCCCTCATCTACCCCGTCGTCCAGATCACCCTCGGCGCGATGCGCCTTATCCCCACCGCAACCTACTTCCCGCTCCGCTTCCAGCTCACCCGTGCCCTCCTCCGCCTCTCCCGCGCCACAGGCACCTACGTGCCCCTAGCCCCGGCCCTCCTCGAGGTCCTCAACGCAGCCGAGATGCGCAAGCCCCCTAAATCCAGCACCCTCAAGCAACTCGACTTCAGCACCGCCATCCGCGCCCCGAAATCCTACCTCCGCACGCGCATCTACCAGGATGGCGTCGGCGAACAGGTCGCCGAGCTGCTCTCCGAGTTCTTCGTCCTCTGGACCAAGCACATTGCCTTCCCCGAGCTTTCCGTCCCCATCGTCGTCGCCCTTAAACGCTGGCTGAAGCAGGTCGGCTCCCGCACGGCCGGCAACAAGAACGCAAAGGTCAACCAGGCCATCTTGCTGCTTGTGCAGAAGGTCGAGGCCAACGCGCGCTGGATCGAGGAGAAGAGGCTGAATGTCACGTATACGCCGCGCAATCGCGCCGAGGTCGAGTCCTTCCTGAAGGATGTGGACTGGGAGTCGACGCCTTTGGGTGCGTTTGTCAAGACGCAGCGGAAATTGAGGGAGGAGAAGGCTGCTATTCTGGAGCAGGGACGGCGTGAGGAGGAGAAACGACGCGCGGCGGAGAAGAAGGCCGATGAGGATGAGATGATGGAGGATGCACCTAGTAATGATGATAGTGAAGAGTCGTCTGGCGAAGAGGAGGAAGTAGAGGAGGAAGAAGAGGAGGAAGAAGAGGAGGAAGAAGAAGAGGAGGAAGAGGAAGAGGAAGAGGAAGAGGAAGAGTTTGAGGAAGAGTAGATGCCCTCTTCTTCTAGATACCCTCCTTCTGTCTTAAGGTTCTGTTTGTTTCATTCATTCCATCTAGTCCTGTAGCTTGGGACAATTCCTGCTATGATATCTATAAAAGTTGCAAGGTTCGGGAACATTGTACACATGCACGTCAAGGGACAATAACGGTCCTTGATACATACAAATATGCATGTGGACTATGAAGTAGAGAAATCTATGGCTAGAATGATATATCTAGAGCACTCTATGAACACCATAGCCAGGTATATATGCAAAATCGACGCAGAAACAAGATAAAAAAGCTGCTATAGCCGCCTCAAGCAGCGACGACTCGGACGATATCAAAGGAAGACTAAACCGTCCCAACTGGCATCTTGTCACTTCCATACGTACGTGTCTGCTCACGCCTCAGAACAGCATCTTCCTCTTCTGCCCAAGCGAGCGACTCATTCGGCAGCATTACTGCCTGATCAATCGCAACAGGAAGACCTCTGTGCCGTCCCCGCAGTGTAACAGCCGCCAGAATCAGCTTGCTGATGGTATGCCACGACCCGCAGAACGAGTAATTTTTGCCTGGAAAGCCGACGCTGATGCCGACGCAGCCGTACGCGGAGACTACCTCGAAGATAATGTTAAAGGTCGAGTAGGCGACTGGATTCTCGGAGTAGTGCGGCGACTCGGCAATGGCAATGAACAAGACTGCGAGGGCGATCCACCAGACGTCATGACTGAGTTGGGAGCGGAGCTGTTGGTGGACGAAGTAGCTGCGCGAGCACTCGACCGTTGAGACATCCTGGCTCCCGAGGAGGTGATGTCGGATTAGGCTCATGACAATATTGGGGGATTGGCTGCCGTGTGCGTCGAGAGGTTCGTCCGAGGCGTAAATGCCTAGGGAGCGCTCTTCGTAGACATTGGTGTTTCTGTGGCAGTTAGTAAAGGAACGTTGGGATACGTGGACAAGACGAACCTCATGGTCACCAATACTGGGAACGCCGAGACGTACTGCAGAGTGGTTAGCCGGGTATTTGGACAGGTTAGAACGACCACAAAACTGACCATCATGAGAACTACAAATTGTTAGCAGATGCCACGTAGATTCCATGTTACAAGTCTTACCGTATAGCACAAGTAGTCCCTGACGCAATTCGGAGATAGTTACAACATAGAACCCTCCAGAGCGCACAGCTATACCACACCGGTTAGCCCCTGGAGATGAGCATGACCATCAAGACCCTCACCCAAAGCCTGGAACAGACCATCTAAGATGCGATAGCCTGCCGGCAGTGTCTCTATTTCTTTATTTCCTATCGCCAGAACCTCGAAACCGGCCCAGTCGATTCCATTCAAGATGATGATGGTCCCTAGCAGGTACCATGTATGGCGGACAGGGAAGAGATTAGTGTAAACCTGCATTGGTAGTTAGCTCTTGTGATAAAATATCGTAGTACTTCGTGGTGCATACCCTTCTGGGATGGTCGAGGATAAAATCCAAAGTGACCTTCCAGGTCTCCCATGATGGCCGATTCGCCATCAAGCGTCTCATAGTCCAGATGATAAATCGTAAAAAGCAGGGGTAGAGAGTATTCCCTGCAAGAATCAACATGCCCATTGTAAGAAGTGGGTACGCACTGTGGCTAGTCAGCGTCGTCCTGACGAATTAGAGAGAAGGTAAATTACTTTGTTTGCAGAGCGGTCATGTTCGCATCCAAAAGGGACATTCCACTGTTGACAAACGCAGAAACAGCAAAGAAAGCCCCAGTCCAGAACGGCGACAGGCCATTTGCCCGAGGAATCTCTGGATGGTTTACTTCCAGCCAGCCGCCGACCCCCACAATGCCGATGATCAGGAACGTCGCCCAGTATAGCAGAACGATGACCGACAAGAAGGAAACTGCCTTGTACTCGACACCGCCCAGTTTCTCACGTTCCTCAAGTGTAAGACCATGAAACTGGGAATTCCGTGAGATGAAGCCTTTTGAGGCGAAATATTTCTGCGTATCTCTTAGAATCCCCTTCAATCGTGGGATCTCGTCTGGCTCTCCGTCCAAAGGTACAGTGGGAGCTACATCTCTCGGATGGTTATTCAAGTCGAGTCGAGCGCCCACTCCTGCCATGGGGAAGACTCTGTGGTGATGATGATGGCGTGGCTGAATATAGCCAATAGTGATTTGGTCGTCATTGCCCCATCGAATATGGTCATTGTCGACCGCATTGGAATATTCTAACGGGGCATTTTCCATGGCGGACACATGAGAGCCCTCAGGACTATGGGGTTCTTCCGGCTGCGAAGCGTGTGTTTTGGTCTTCCCGGCAGGCTTCAGGAAACAAAGAGTGGACTGCCCGAAAAAATTTCTTGCGGCAGAACTTTCTGAAATGGTCTTGAATTTGAGCTGGAACGCTCTCTTGCGCACAAATAGGACCGTGATTGAGATCAGAATGGCATGTCCTAGGATCAGTAGCGCAAAAATGATGGACTGTTGGAACGTGTTTAAGGATGAGAGGTCCACCTGAAACCAGTTAGCGAGGCTTAACGGGTTAGATTCATGGAACATACCGTGTTCAATCCAGCACCAGTCATGGCACTGACGCATAAGAAAAGCGCATCTGCATAATGAACGCTTCGTGAGGGAGTCGCGGAACCCCAGAAGATTATACTGCAAATCAGCGGTGTGGCAATGAAATATGCGTAATGGAGGGTGAGGAAATTGAATGGCGGTAACACTGCCATGATACAACGACCGAGTGGTCGAGACCAAATCCGTCTAAGTCGAACTGTTGATTGTTTGAGCCTTCAATTGCTCACGACACACCGAACAAACGGCGGAACGACGTACCAATCATCTCGACAGAGTCTTTCTGAGATAACGCAAGACAGGTGTAAGAGACTCTGCAGCAGCAGTATAATCTTGGAGGATGCGAAATAGAATGACTTCTTCAATAATGGCGAAAAATCTGACGTTGAGAAGCACGTTCAACTGGTGCTTCTCTACCCGCCGATGGAGCGCACACCGCTAGCCACAACAAGGGTTTTGAAAGAATTGTTTAACAAACTGAAAGGTTTTTAATTTTGTTCGATAGTCCATTGCTTTGAATCTCGGGTTTCTGTAGAGTGTTGTTTCGCTGTGTTGGTGCGAATAGTCGGTGAACTTGATTTGATAGTGGGAAGCGGAAAATTCTTCTGCAGGGGTGTTATGGATAATAATGACTCTGTTATGATGGATACTGGAAGAAAACTGTCCAGAGCGTGTGTTATTCCATTTCAGCAATGCTTTCGATAGGCAGAAGATGGTTGTATAGACTGCTAATGGTGTTGTTGATGACGATGAAAAAAAGAAAGTGCGGAAGAGGAGAGATAAGGCGATAAAGAAGGACTGCCGAGGTGGATCAGGAAGCTTATCCGATTATGAAAGAAGCTTCAACGGGCCGCAGATCTCGGCCTGATACTGTAGGGCTTTTCCTTGCTGATAAGGCAGAGGCTTCTGGATATCCATTACCTTCGCAGTCGAATACATTTGCAAAAGATCCTAGATATCATGACGATTGCTGAAATTCATCGTCTTCATATTTGACTTGTTTGCATTCACAACTCACAAGTTGATATACGCTTAAACTGCTGCCTAAGCCTAAAATTTGTGAATGAAGCCTGAACAGGATTTTGATGTAAGCCAGAACTTACGAAACCACCCCTGAACACTTAGTTGGACTACCAGATTGTCCCACCATCATGCATTCCATCACTTCTCGGAACAATAATGCTGACACTCTTCCTCCACCACCTTCGCCACCTCCGCCACCCTCACTGAGTGCTGGCGTGGTTCCTGCTCCCGCTCCAGTGCCCCAATTTGAACCGCCGGCGGTGGCGGAACAAGGCCCTCCTGGGGCCTTCCTCGTCGAACTGTTGGTCTACAATGGCCATCCCTTCAAAGACCACTGGGCGTACTGGGTGCGTTCGCACACTGATAAGGATCTTGGAGTCAAGATCCACGCTACTGGCGATGTAAGAAATGGCTTCGAGTTCGAGATTAAGCGCAGCAGCAACTTCCGCACAAACGAAATTCCCCCCACGAAGAGAATCCCGTTGCAATGGGTCGATGGCCATTGCTTTGATGAAAAAGTGATGTTTAACAACGGAGAACACAAAATTGACAATGTGCCTGTATGTCAGTTCGAGGCCAGTGCGCACAAGATTAAGGCCCCTGGGAAGAGCCTGAATACAACTAGTGATGCTGTAAGTCTCGACTACATTTCTCATGCAACCTCTTGCCCTGTCTTGGTGTCCGGGAATCATATCTTCTAGGTCATCTTTAACACCTCTCCGTGACTCAATGTTAGAATACAGCAGCTAACCTGGAGACCCAGAGCTCATCGGCCGGAAATGTTAGCAAGAAAGTCACACAAAGGAACTGCCAGACATGGATCGTCGAGTCCGCTGAGCAACTCGTGAAGGACAATATTTTCAGGAGAGAAATTGCTGATTACCTTTGCGCAATTGAGCAGTGATCATTTCCGGAGAAAGTATTATAGGCACCAGGGATATATAGGCTTTGTTGTATCTCTGCTGTGTTGGCAAGTGAAACCATTGGTATTGGGCAGCCTTGGCCAGTTATCAGGGTACGCATTTGCCATTGTTCATTATGACTGCATGATCTTTCCGTGATGATCTGCGGATCCGCTCTGGACCATTCTAAGGAGGCGGAGGGCACAAAACAGTCAGAAGCATTGGCATTGTCCTTCCAGAAGCAGACCTGATTTCGGCTATGCATTGTCTCTCTTGTAAGCATCGAGAACCTCAACAAGAGACTGATCCAATCTTGGTTCTCTCGATTTAATTAGCGAGGTCCCCTTACTCAACTCTCTCAGATCAAAATCGACCTGCACCTGGCCTGTTGACAGCAAAGACTCGACAACAGGAGTCCGCTGAAATTTCGCCGCCCACATGAATGGTGTCATTCCCTTGCTATCCCTTGCATTAAGCTGCACCCTGCCTGTCGCCAGCAATAGCTTAACCACCTCGACATGCCCTTGCAGAGCTGCCACTATCAGCGGAGTGCTATGTTGTCTATCAACGGCATCTGGATTGACTCCCTCAACCGCTAATAGCAGCTGCACAACCCCCGCATGACCCTTCCTGGCCGCCTCCGTAACGGCGATGCCCCAGAGACAGTTCTCGAGTCAGGATCCACCTGTCCGTCCCGACTGAGGGTCAGTAAGTACTTAACAGCCTCCTCCCTCCCGTTTCCAGCCGCCAGGAATAAGGGTGTCTTCCCTTGATCCGTCGGACAGTCTGGGTTGACCCCTTCCAAGAGCAACAACTGCATAACCTCACAATGACCCTCACTCGCAGCGCATGCAAATGGGGTTACCCCCTCATCATCCGCAGTATTGGGATCAAGCTTCCCTGTATCCAGTAACATCCGCACAATCATGGCATTGCCACCAGTGGCAGCATACCAGAGAGCACTCCGATCCTTGCAGCTGCATAGGGTTACTTCTGCTGGCCCATACTTTGCAGAAAGCAGTGTGCGCACCACTGCTTCATGACCACCCTCTGCAGCAAACATGAGAGGCGTCCGCCCTATCCCATCACGGATGTCTACTAGGCTGCGTTTATGCGCTAGCAAGAGGCGCGTAATTACTGTCTGCCCTGTCTCAGCAGCAAAATGGAGTGGCTTGTTCCATGAACACTCTCACTTTGGGGTCGGCGCCATCTCGGAGCAGAAGCTGGCAGAGTTGGGGTGGTTTGGAACTTTTTATGGCGGTAATGAGGAGCTTACTGCGCTCCTCGCGGTCCTTGCGAGCCTTGATGTAGGGTGTTAGGATACTATTAAGTCGAGGGTGGCTTTGAGTGAGAGCCCTGAGGTCGTGCTCTGAGGAGACTTGGTTCGCGATGATCCGGAGAAGCTTGCTTGGGAGGCTGAAGAGTGTTGGTGCCATTCTCCTTTTCTTTTACATCCCAGTTCCTGTCTCCATGTATTAGAAGAGTTGAAACCAGTTGATTGATTTAGTACCCCGCAGAAGAAAACAAAAGGGATAGATAGTTGCAATTAGAGACTTCATATAGTGGAAAAACCAGGAACGGCTACCACAATATGTAGTTTCTTTTCCGTCTGCCAGCCTTGACTAGTTGTTGAAAGATAAAGATATCTACATGCAAAGCAAGAGGTGACCTACATGCATTATGCTAAGCCTAATCTGGCGATAGGCGAACGAGTAACCTTCACACAAATGTTCGTGGGGAAAGGGAAGCGAGATAAAGAATGGCTCCGTGGTTGATCAGTAGACACCCGTTCATAGGTACCGACTCTGCCCCGGAAGTTCCTCAGACTTGGTAAAACCACCGGGTTTTTCTGCCAAAGGTCAATGTTTGTAGGTTACTAGGTAGACTAGAGGAGCTGTATATGCAATATCTAGTCAAAAATCTAGCGGTCGACCGACTTCAGTAAAACAAGATATAAGGGTATTAATTCAAACTTGTATCTTTAGCTATCTAGTTTCGCATCACCTAGACAGCAACCGTATCACAAAACATCTGTCTGTAAAGGGAAGCTCTTCCAGTACTGGTTCCAGTGTTTGTTCTGTACCCCTCGAGTGGACGGCCAGATCTCATTCAAGAGATCATAGACCTGCTGCGGTATATGTAGACGGCCGTTTTCAAAAATGTCGTCCTCTCGCCACAATTCCCATGCTTCCTTCCCAATCTCCCGCACATCCGGCTTTGTTTGGCAGTAGAAATCGGGCCGGGTGAGAAGAAATGAATGACTCAGTTGTCTGATCACATGCTTCTCCTCCCTTGAATAAAAATTTGCTCCGAAGGGTATGATGCGTAGCTTTCTCAGTCTTTTGCTAGGTTGACTTGACGCGATGAGGTCCCAAATACTCATTGCAAGGCTTTCATCCGTCGCAGCATTGATGAGAGTCTCTCGTAAACAAGCAGTACTGGCCATTTCAGGACCGATGGGCGACTGTCTGGGATCGCAATGCAAATCCAGAATCAAGGTGTGCAGCTGCGTCAAACGACCGAGTGCTCTGTATATGTTGCACTCCTGGTGATTGCCTCCTTGGCGCTTGATCTGAAGCCGAAGCTCCTGCAAGATTGGGCAACAGTCTACTAGCTGAGAAATATGTTGACTGTCTAAAACTGGGTACTTGTATCCGTTATCGTACAGCGACCTCCATGGGCGTCCTTCCTCCGATGCCTCAATTGCCAGGCCCTGCAATGATGTGCCATGATGCTGAAGAATGTGATCGAGGGAAGAAGTGCTGCGTAAGCCGCGCAAACAGAGGAAACTCACTGGAGCAAAAGCTCGGACTGCGGCTACCATCTCCTCGTCATCTGCATTGACGTCTTCGTTGCGTTTGGCCCATGGGTCCATGTCAACAAACAGCCGATCTAAGCTGTGGAACAGCGAAGCGGCTTGCGTTAGCAAGCTCGGGTTGGAGTAAACGGACATGTCCAATGAGCGGAGCCGACATAGGTCAACAAGATTCGCAAGTTTCAGCAGAATCTCCTCCAACGGCCCGTGTCCAGATCCGAAGTGCAATGAGAGTGAGTCCAGACAAGCTGCCGGGACGGGCTTAAAATAATCAGAGAAGTCTTTCCATTCCTGTTTGATTTTAAAGTTAGAGTCATCGTTGGATGCAATGCTAGCCTGTATGGCCAGACGTTTTAGGTTTTGACCCATGCAGACAAAGGGAAGAAGCTCGTCGAGGTGAACAAATCCTTGACCTCCATTGGGATCCCTTGCGGTGAAGTAATTCACGGCAAAAGTATGGAGACCTGGGGACCGTAGGATGCTAATATCAAATGGATCATTCATTGAGAAAGAGGATCCGGGGCGAGTCCTTCCTAGGCCTGGCACATCAATGCTCAAGGACTGAAACGTCCATATGTTCACCCTGCACCTGGGATGATACTGGCAGATGGCCTGATGAACGGGTGCAGGGAACATGTTGTGTGCTGCGTAATTCAGCTCTTCTAGGTGCTCAAGACGCGCAATCAACGACACGAGCGGCTGCCACTCCTTCTCCGAATAGTAATCAACACTCAGATTCAGGAATCTGAGATCCGAGTCGAGAGATTCGCCGAGCCGGTGCTCCAGGAACGTGTCCCTGTGAGCTGGCGGAATGTAATCGGCAAACTCCATTCCCCAGTCTTTAACCTGCCAGAGACACCTTCCCTTTTTGGACTCGATATACGGTTCATAAAGGCAAACCACATCCAATTTACGGGCATACTTGAGAAAAGTCCGCCCTATTCCACCATGATCAACCTCAGATGCGGTCTCCTGGAGCTCAGCCAGGTTGCGGAATTTTACTCTGAGTGATTCAAACAAAAATGGAGCCACTAGGTCACTCCACAGTCTGTTGGTTAATCTGAGCTGCGGAAGATCGCCTGGGGAGTCTGTTTTGATCTGGATTGTGTTAGTATGCTGAGAACACAGACAGTAGGCAAAGACAGACCATGAAACAAATGTGTCGCAAGATCTCGATGGGAAGATCCTCCATGGTGTTGTAGAGCCGGACGTGGTGAGAAATGCGCTAATGTGGCTGGCAATATTCCATTTATTTATTCCTGACCCTAGTCCTTAGGCATCTTTACTCAAAATCACGTGTGTTAATCTACCAATGCAAACCCTTGAGATTGTGAATTTAGCCTGGTTCTCCTCATGTTTTCATCTAGTTGCTCATCTTGATCTAGGGCGCTGCAATCCTGCGCAACCGCCTCAATCAAAACATGTGCAAGAGTAAAGAGACTCCATACTCTTCTCAGGAGACCCCATGGTGGAACGAATGATTCACGCCTTGGGTACGAAGGACTTAAAAGTCTCATGGAGTCATTGCAAAGGGTTATTTGGATGCTTTATGCTACTACTACCTACTTAGAATCCAGAATCCTGCAGGACCCCTGAAGGTCCGATCAGAGGGACCGAGTCTATGTCGGCCGAATTCTAGCTTGCTCACTAATTTACATGTCTACTAGGTTGTTCGCTCGCAGGGGAAACAACTTTCAGAGCGAGAAGTGAATTCCAATTCCGTAGTCGAGCGCCGGGGGCAGTTTCGTCGCGATGTCTTGCGGGGGCACAGTATGGCGGTACCGACTTTATTGGAGTGGACTCCTTTGGCTGCAGCTTGGAACGCCTGAACCAGTTTTTTCTAAGATAATTTGATTATAAGACATGGTAAGCTAAGTTAAAACTATATATGATAGTGAGACGATGTTGAGGTGATGCTAGAAAGATGAATGTTCATTCAAGAGTATGGAAAATGGTAAACAGGGAGCTTTTATCTTCTAGTTCTGCCCCAAAATGTGGAGCTATAGGCGCTGGCAAGCCAAAATAGGAAGACGTAGCGTTTCAGATTTCCTGTGGATATTGCCACGAGTGGACGACAATGGGCGAGCTGTATAGAGGCATGCAGCACGACTCACACTTCACGCTCCATGTCTGGGAGTCGATTGAAGCGATTAGAGGCTAGACCAACATGCTTGGATCGCCACGCCA